AGTGCATGCCGGTTCGATAGCTCCGCCTCGGGCTCGAGGCTGGGGTGCGCGCTCCGTCAGTGCAGCAGAGTGGCTCCCCGCCCCGCCGGGATTGCCCGGCCAGCCGTGTCCCCCTCCTCGGTGCTGGGAGGGGGTGAATTTTTCTGACAAGGAGAGACACCTACCCTCCACCGATGACGCCTGCCTCGGTATGGGCTGCGCTGACAAATCACCAGGGCTGGCTGATGAACAACGGCAGTGGCTCTCTCGCAGCTCTGGGGGCTGGAAGTCTAAGATGAGGGTCAGGTTCCGGGGAAGGCTTCCTTGCAGGATGCCGTCTGCATGCACCAATATGGATCAGCCATAGTACACGCCCCCTCCCTCTGGACACGCCCCCCCTCCTCCCACCCCACCCCACCCCTCTAGCTTGTCACTTGACCTCCCTGGTCACACAGAAAATTCCCACTGTTTTACATAAGTTAGTGTATATGTCTCCATGCCGCTCTCTCCATTAGTCCCACCCTCTCCTCCCTCAACAGCCAAGGCTCTGTTGGACTTGACTCTGTGTCATCCCTGTTCAGTTCAGTTCAGTCGCTCAGTCGCTCAGTCGTGTCAGACTCTTTGTGACCCCATGGGCTGCAGCACGCCAGGCCTCCCTGTCCATCACCAACTCCCGGAGGTTACTCAAACTCATGTCCATTGAGTCAGTGATGCCATCCAACCATCTCATCCTCTGTCGTCCCCTTCTCCTCCCGCCTTCAATCTTTCCCAGCTTCAGGGTCTTTTCCAGTGAGTCAGTTCTCCGCATCAGGTGGCCGAAGTGTTAGAGTTTCAGCTTCAGCATCAGTCCTTCCAATTAACATTCAGGACTGATTTCCTTTAGGATGGACTGGTTGGATCTCCTTGCAGTCCAAAGGACTCTCAAGAGTCTTCTCCAACACCACAGTTCAACAGCATCAATTCTCTCGCATTCACCTTTCTTTATAGTCCAACTCTCACATCCATACATGACCACTGGAAAAACCATAGCCTTGACTAGACGGACCTTTGTTGGCAAAGTAATGTCTCTGCTTTTTAATATGCTGTCTAGGTTGGTCTAACTTTTCTTTCAAGGAGTAAGCATCTTAATTTTATGGCTGCAATCATCATCTGCAGTGATTTTGGGACCCCCCAAAAATAAAGTTTGTCACAGTTTCCACTGTTTCCCCATCTATTTGCCATGTAGTGATGGGACCGGATGCCATGATCTTAGTTTTCTGAATGTTGAGCTTCAAGCCAACTTTTTCACCATGTTAGGACTGTAACATCTCCCTCCTCAGTTCTGATGGGCAGACCCACCTCCACCTTTGTACTTTTTGCAAATCACTGCCTGAGAATCATTAACAACAAGCCCCAACCCTTCCCTGAACCCTGGAACATTCTAGTGAAGTGTAAGTGAGTGATTGCGTGTTCCCCAACCGTTTAATGCAATCTCCTCTTTTTAAAAATTAAGACTGATTTAAAAACCATCCTTAAAACAAAAGAGGTCTGCTCACCGGCGTCCTCTACCAAATTGCAACCTGCCAGAGACCACCAGTGTCTTAGCTTATTGTTTCTGGGCCTATATTTGAACCTCTTGTCAATGTGTCGTTGATTAGAAAGGATGAGCTGGTCTTTTTCTAAATTCAGGCCTGGTAAATTGTTCACACAAAGCTGTGCAGAACTGTTGCAAACAGAGGCGGGACGTGGGCACATCTGCTCCAAGCATGTGTTTACTGGGTATTTTCTCGTTTTCAGTTGCACAATAGTAAGTAAACTTCTAACGTGTTGTCCTGATAATATTGTACTGTGGGGTTTTTCATACCTATTCAAAGTTGAGCCTGTTTCCTCTCTCGCTTCTGTATCTATGATAAAGAATGGAAGCCAAGGTTAGATCTTGTATGTATTTCAAATTGGAAATAAAATTCCAACTGCTTCTTGTTTGAGTCTTCAGATCAGTTTAATCAAAGAGTATTTTGGGACGCAGGGGGAAGGGGGGGGCACGAACACATATGCACTGACACATATGCACTCCCGCGTGTGAAATAGCAGCAGTGGGAAGCTGGCGTGAGAGCCCAGGGATCTCAGCTCGGCGCTCTGGGTGACCTGGGGGTGGGGTGGGGGGAAGGCTCAGGAAGGAGGGACAGACAGCTGGTTCACTTCCTTGTGCAGCAGAAACTAACACAAACATTGTACATCAATTACCCTCCAACAATTTTTTAAAAAAGAGTATTCTGGTTATAAGTGCTGATGCGTTTCAGCTTTGTTGAATGTTTTTTCTGCATCTATTGAAAAGATCTGTATAAATTTTTCTTCATTCTATTAATAGAGTGAATTATATTCACTAGTTTTCAAATGTTGAACTGCCATCCTGGACAAACCAGACTTGGTCAAGATGCATTACACTTCTTATGCATGTCTGGATTTTATTTGCTAGTATTGGAAGAGGATTTCTTGTATCCACCTGTATGAGAAGTAACGGTATAAATTTATTTTTTATAAAATCTCTGTCAAGTTTTGACATTAAGGCTATGCTTGCCTCGAAAATGAATTGGGAATTTTCTTCCTTCTCTAGTCTCTCAAATAACTTATATACTATTTGTGTCATTTCTTCCTTAAATAAATGAAAGAATTCAAGTAGAAACAAAAGAGTATTCTGAAATTGCAAGGGGAACTGAGTGAAAAAACAAATTTCTATCAACCTCTTATCTGTGTGAAGTTTTGTGTTGCTGTAGAACCAAAACAAAACTATGGAAATCACTGACACATTGGTGACTGAGGCTGACTTATGAATGAATTGTCATCTAGATCAAGGATTGGCAAACTTTCCCTGTGAGGCCAGATCATAAATCTTCTTGGTTTTGCAGGACACAACTTCTGCCACTGTTACTCAACTCTGCCATGCAGCACAAAAGTAGCCACAGGAAGTAAGAAGCAGCCGCATGTTTCTGTGTTAATAAAGCTTTATTTGCGGGCCCTGACATTTGAATTTCATATACAGGGTTGGTCAAAAAGTTCGTTCAAATTTTTCCATACAATACTACAGAAAAACCCAAACAAATTTCCAAAATAGTATTTTCACGTGTCATTTGTTCTTCTTCTGGTTTTTTCCAACCGATTAAAAATGTAGAGATCAGTCTTAATTCATGAGCTGGGCTCATACCTGTAGCTCTCAGTTTGTTGTTGTCACCTACTGAAACAGCTGCACGATGGTAAATTCCAGGTGGTGGAGAGGGTGTGATTGGAAAGGGCTGGAGGTGTCTTGACTCCCAGCAAGTTCAAGTTCTTGACCTGGCCGGTGGTTACGTGGATGTCTATTTTGTCAATATTCAATGAACTGTACACTCATGTTCTTTGATCTTTTGAGTGTCTGGGTGTGATATTTTACAATGAAAATGTTTGAAGGTAAGTGACACATAAAGCGACACATACAAAACATGATTATTCTCATTGGTATAATGAGACCATTGTATAATGGTTGTACAATGTATAATAATTGTGCTATTAATTTGACAATATAAAATAATTAATACTAATTTTATTCAAATGGCACTTTATTGGATACATTGAAGGTTAATGCAAGATTTTATTAGAGAAAAATGACTGCATTGCTAAAAACATTTGACACCAGCTGCTTCATCAATGCTGTCCGCTGAAAGCTCATGCAGCTATCGGTGGAAATGTTCTGTCTGTGCTGTCCCCGTGTGACTGAGGCTCCTGTATTAGATAGCATGGGTTTAGATATTTTTTGTACTTGTCCTTCCATTTTGCAATTTGTTATTTAAGCATGTTTGTCTGGGTTCAAATTTCAGTTGCCATCGGGTTGCTGTGTGACCTTGGACAGCTTACTTGCCTCTTCTGTGCCTTAGTGTCTTCATCTGCAAACTGTAAATAACGAGAATACTCACCTTCTACTGCAGTTGAGGATTAAATAAGAAGAGCATATGTGCCAAGCACCAGGCCTGGTCTATACTGTGTGCTCAGGGACTCTGCCACGTAAATTTTCTGTTTCTGTCTGCCCAGTGGAGCTTGTGAGACCAGGGATTGAACCCAGGCCCCAGCAGTGAAAGCTTCAAGTCCTAACCACGGCACCACTAGGGAACTCCTGCCATTGTAATTCTGGACAACTTCATCTTCAGAGCGATCCTCTGAGGTTTACAAAACTGGAAATCATGCCTTCCGCAGCTCATAAATGGTGTGCGTGCGTGCTCAGTCGTGTGTGTGACCCATGGACTGTAGCCCACCCACCAGGCTCCTGTCTGTGGGATTTCCCAGGCAAGAACGTGGGAGTGGGTTGCCATTTCCTCCTCCAGGGATCTTCCCCACTCAGGGATAGAAGAACCTGAGTCTCCTGCATTGGCAGGCAGGTTCTTACTACTGAGCCGCCAGGGAAGCGTACAAGGAAAGAAAAAGCGAAAAGCTCACCTCCAGTTACAGGCAAGCCTTTACGACTGGACTTTGACCATTGCTGACTTTCTAGAACTTTTCCTATGGCTGGCTTTCTCAGACGGGAAGGACACTGGTCCCGAAGGCCACCCCAGAGTCCGCACACAATGCATGTACTCCTTGGCCTGCAGTGGGTGGGGTTCAGAGCAAGGGCTAAAGGTCTTGGGGGGTTGAGATGGATGTTTATGCCTCTGTCTGTCCTCGGCGCCTTTGATCTGCTATCCTGAATGCACAGGGCAGCCCGCATTGTTTGTGGGAGGGACAGAGCTGGTGTTTTATCAGATTCCTACACACAGAATAGAAGGGTGGAGAGATGACAGGGCGGGTCTGGAATTCGGATGGGCTGGGTTGCTGGCCTTGTGGGAATGTGTCAAGTTGGAGCTTTGCTGGTGGGGGCTGGAAATGGGGTCCAGGGGGCCGGCAGGAGTCTTGTGGACCCTCCTGGGGACCGGAGGCTCAGCTGCAGGGTTCAGCTTGCAGGTAGCCTGGGCTCGGCCACGCGGGGCGCCTGGCTGGGCCCTCGGGTCTCTGCTGGGGGCCAGAGGGCCCGAGGAGAGATGAAAACGAGACGAAAACGGCCCGCTCCCATCAACAAAGCCCGGGACGCCCTCCGCCCCCCAGCTGCTTCCACAAAGAGCTGGAGGAGCTCGGCGCGCAACTGCTGCGGATTCCGCCCCGAGCGGCGGCCCTGGCATATGGCATCGCCCCAGCGCGGCGCTGACCCTCCCGCCCCGGCGCCGGCACCCCCAGCAGCCTGTCATGGCAACAGCTGGGGGGCGGGGGCGTGAGGGCCCAGCCCGGCCTGACGGGCGAGATGGATGGTCATGGGCGACGTGCCAGAGGCCCCCTCCCCACTTCTGTCTGGGGTCTGCGGAGGGCCTGGGGTCAAGGCCCGGGGAAAAGCAGGAATTTTCACTGGAGGGGCTGGGAGCCCGTGAACTGGGGTACTGGGGGTGGGGGGGGCGGTTCAAACTGCGCATGCCCGCAGCGGATGATCCCCGACCACCCCCCCCCCCACCGCACCCCCCCCACCCCCACCGCGGAGCCGGCCAGCCAGAAACTGGCCAGGGGGAAGGGAATTTTGCTGAAAATGTCTTGAAGGGAGGACTGATTAAAGTGATGCCTTTGGGCCCCGGAGGAGCCAGGCCCAGTGGCTGGGCGGTGGACTCCTCCCCTCCCGGACCCCTCCTCCCCTGCTGAGAAGGAGGGACACAGACACTGTCAGGTGGCTTGCAGAGCTGGGAGTGGTCCCCTCCCAGCTGGCAGGCGAGGGGTGTGGGCCTTGATGTCAGGCCCCGGGTGGGGGTTGCAGGTGCAGGCAGTGCCCGGGGAGTCAGTGGGCCCCAGCACCAGCCTGGGTTTGCCAAGGAAGAACCTGCCTTCTGCTCTCAGTACCTCTCCAGGCTCATGACTGTCAAAACTCCATATATTCAGTACCCAGCAGAGAGAAGACTGGATTCCTTTTTTTGGTGGCTTTTCGACTCAGAAATACCAAGAGCCATTTTTGGTACCTATATCGGAAACTTGAAGGCTGCACTTCTTAATAAGCAGATGAACTATTTCCTGGAGTCTCTCCCAAGTTCACACTCTGGTGAAAAGCCATGAGCTGATCTGTCCTAAGTCGTAGGACTTGGCTGAGCTGACACTCCTGGAGGCATCAGGTACTCACTTCCACAGGCAGGTAAACTCACCTTTGCTCTGTTGCAACCCGGGTGTAATGGCTGGGCGCCTTTCCAGACGCTGATCCATTTTGGATTCTTGCGTTTATACATATGTATTTGAAATCAGGGCCTGCAGGAAAGTAGGTCAACTTCTGATAAGCTGATCACCTCCAAATTAGAAGCCTCTGAAATTAGGACATCAAAACAGCCCCGCAGCTAACGAAGGGGTCCTGTTGGAAAGAAGGTACAGAGAGTCAGCAGGAGGCATGGGACACTGTCGGATCTCCTGGATGGAGCGCCTTAAATGGAAATTACCAAATGGGTCTTTAAAACATGCACCCTTTGGTTTGATCAGCCTACAGTAGATAACCTTATTAAACCTGATCTGAAATTACAGCCACGGCCAGTGCTTCTTTGATGCTGTGGCTGTTTCATTTCCTGTTTATACTATGATACACGTTGCACTCGGAGATAAAGCACTTCTAAAGGATATTAAGACATAGAAGTCCCTTGGCTATTTGCTGGCACTGTTTTGATGTTTTCTTGCTCCCTGGAAATTAGCATATCCTTTTCAAAGTCTTCCTCTGATGAGAGTAATCCTTTGCCACGATGTATTTGCTGAAAGTCGTCAGTGATAGTATATTGTGTAAAGAAATGACATACAAAAGGCATGATGCTAGATTACTGATAATGAGGCAACCTGTGTAACGGTGGCTTGTGGCTTTTCTGAAACATATTCTGACACCCTGAATACACTGGGCTTCTATTAATGAGGATTTGATTCTTCTGAGATTTTCAAGAAACTTGCACAGAACAACTTTTTGAAGAAAACACTAGTAGGGCAAAGTTGAACATTTGTACTCATTGTACCAAGCTAAGTTCCATCAAGACATTTTATGGCCTTGGACGTAAGAAACAATTGTAGACTTTCTGTGTTCCATTTTCAGAGCTGAGAGTTAATGAGTATGGATGGATGCTAATGAGACGGATGGAGATAATGTGGGAAAAGAGGTTTGGCCACATACCTAGAATTTTCTTTTAATTAAACAAGGGAAGACAGAATGAGAGGAAGACAATTAGGAAGAAAGGAAGAGATGTAAGAAAGAAGTAGGAAGACAAAGGAAGGTGAGAAAGAAATATTCTTTCCAAGAGAGGCAGGAAGGAAAGAAACAGAGGGAGAAGGAAAAGAGGAAAGAAGGAACCAAGAAGGAAGGAAGGGTTTTTAAAAGGAGAAATTGTGGGAAAGTAAGAAGCAAAGATCTGGGAAAGAGGAAAGGAAGTGAGTGAAGGGAAGAGAAGAAAGAAAGAAAGACGAACGTGAAATAGAAGGGAGGGAAGGAAACACTAGAGACAAGGAAAGGAAGAAAGAAAAACTAGAAGGCTGGGATAAAGAAACCGGAAGAGCAGAAGAGGGGTGGGAGGAGGGAGGAAAGGAGAGCTCTGTCATCCAGACACCGGGGAGCTGTTCCAGGAAGGAAGCTGGCCAACTTCACTTCCGTTCGGAGAAACACTAGGAAAGGCATGTTAAATTAACCTTATCTGAATCAATCACCAGGCGTATCCTAATCTAGTTATTCTGGGAGTTTAAACCGAAGGTCACTGAGCTACAGTCTTCGGGGTCATAGCCACTTGTAGGCAGAGCCGAATCCAGACTTTTGCCGACCAGGTCAGTCTTTAATTTTATTCTTTCCATTAGGATTCCAAACGGAGGGACACTTGTTCTTTCACAAATACTATGCATGGTTTAGTCACTAACTCGTGTGCAACTCTTGCGACCTCATGGACTGTAGCCTTCCAGGCTGCTCTGTCCATGGGCTTCACCAGACAAGAATACTGAAACGTGTTAAAGAGCAAAGCAGCGTGTCGTCCTCTGGCCACAGTCGTCTTTCTCAGACAGTTCTTCTCACTCTGAAGTGACTGTCAGTTCATATCCAGCAAATACTTAAGGTCCCCATAGCAGGCATGTTTTCTTAGAAATCTGCATACTTTCAAAGATGAAGTGTTTCAAGAGCTCAGCTTTCTTTGGTCTGCTCCTCCATGCATTTCACATGTGTTGCATTTGCAGTTTAAGGATCAAAAATATTTTCTTAATTACAGGCATACTGTTCCGAACAGTGGTTTAGAATACTTCTTTCTTGGACGTGTGAGTCCAGTGTGGCTGGTAGAAGACGTGGGGGCAATGGAGGAGGCCAAGTGAAGGGGCGGAGATCGGCTCTGGGTACGACACTTCCAGATGCGGACAGTGTCTGGACACCCAGTGACTATATGGGCACAAACGCACCTTTAAAAATGTAAGCTTAGGAAAAGATCAAAGAAAGAGGGGGGTCAGGAAGGTGGGCGTCTTCTTGTGCCCCCATTTTGCTGCTTCCCAGGAGGCTCTGTAGTAAAGAATTCGCCAGCAAGGCGAGAGATGCGGGTTTGGTCCCTGGGTCAGGAAGATCCCCTGGAGGAGGGAATGGCAACCCACTCCAGTGCTCTTGCCTGGAGAATCCCATGGACAGAGGAGCCTGGCGGGCTAAAGTGCATGGGGTAGCAAAGAGTCAGACACGACTTAGCAACTAAACAACAAGGAAGATGGGGGTCCTCTCGTGCCCACCTCCACCACATCAATGTCATCACCTCTGATACTTGTTCTAGAGGGAAAAACCTGTTATGGGTGGCCTCAAGTAACTCAGTGCAAAAGGTCTGACTCAGCCTACTGTCTGATCAAATACAGAGCCTAAAACGTGTTCTGTAAGGAAGAGTCTTTGTCCTGCATTGACTTTTCCAGAAGTGAGAAGCTGGGAATCTGGGTGCAGCCAAGGAATTAAAGGATTTGTTTACTCATAGGGCTCAGTAGGTCCTTGCTTTAGACCAGTGAGAGTGCTAGTCGCTCAGTCGTGTCTGATTCTTGTGACCCCATGGACCATAGCCCTCCAGGCTTCTCTGTCCATGGAATTCTCCAGGCAAGAATACTGGAGTGGGTTGCCATTCCCTTCCCCGGGAGACCTTCCTGACCCAGGGATCGAACCTGGGTATCTTGCATTGCAGGCAGACTCTTTACCGACCGAGCCACCAGGGTTTAACACAGAGGATGGAGTCTATACACGTTCTAGTTGCTGACCTGACACCTCCAGGGCAAGAGACTCATATTCCGCTCCTCCCCACCAGCTCCACGTCTCCCCACGTGCCCACTTTCCAGCTTGGAAAGACGTGTTCACCCCGCAGGGTTTTTAAATTAAGAATTCAAACTTCTCCACTCACATCCGCCCAGCAGCAGCAATCCTCATCTCGAGAGGAGATCAGTGACCAAGTTTGGTCCCGTAACTAACGTAGGCGACTGTGGTGCTTCTCAAACTTTCTGTGACTAGTTTTGTTTTGATTTTCAGTACGTGGTCCTGCTGCACCAGCCTAGCAGACAGCTGTCACCACTGTGACTCACTGTGAGAGCTGAGCCGTTCCAGAAACGCCTGTACACAGTTTAGCAAGACAGCCCACTGATCTGTTTGGCCGTCTTGGCAACGTTAAATCGCGGTAAGGCTTCTCAGCACTCACTCTCAGTTTCTGTACTTTCCTCATCAGGAGAGTTAATAATAGTTTGTGAATCGACATCAGATTGGGGACCACACTTTAGGGGCCCTGGTCTAGGGCAGGCATTCCAGACCTTTTAATTATTACTTATGTGTCACCAATGACTTGGTTACTTATAATAAAATGGATGGCTAATGGGCTTCCCAGGTGGCACAGAGGGTAAAGAACCCGCCTGCCAATGCAGGAGACACAAGAGGGGTCGGTGCAATTCTGGGTCGGGAAGGTCCCCTGGAGGAGGAAATAGCAACCCACTCCAGTATTCTTGCCTGGAGAATCCCCAGGACAGAGGAGCCTGGCGGGCTACAGTCCGTGGGGTCACACTCATGCGCACACACATGCACACACACACGCTGTTGTTGATGGTGGAGGCAGCCATAATGGTAGGGAACACGGCAGTTTCTCACCTTAGGCCTCGTCTTATCAATGAACTTGTGTGGATTTCCAGCCAGTCATGAAGTGTTAATACAACTACTAATGTATCATTGAGAGTTGTGCCAATTGTGAATTATTATAATGCTTGTAGGTTGTGATTTTGATCGGTATAGTTGTTTTTCTTT